CAGACTGGGGTTTCAAGATGTGCTGTTCAAGCTCTTTTGAAGCAGCACAAAGAAACAGGCACCACTGAGGACTGTAGATGCAGTGGTCGGCCAAGGAAACTTACTGCAGCAGATGAAAGACACATCATGCTTACTTCCCTTCTCAAACCCATATGCTCTTATTTTTACCATGCACATTTCTTAAGTATCTCATTCCCACTGTATTCAACATATTTTTATATTTCTCCTAACATACCCAGCTGTTAGTTTTATATAACAAGGTGGGCAAACAAGCTGTTAGAGACATCTGTTTTTGCTCATTTCAGCAAATGATATTTCCTCACTACAGACCTCGTACTCCTTAGTATCTTTCTACCAGCATTTGCACATCTTACATTTCTCTATTTTCCTATCTTCAGTATAATATTCTGCCAGGATGCACATCTTCATCTACTTGCTTTAGTGTTTCATTATTTATGTATGATTTTTAATGTAAATTTATTAACAATTTTGATTATAATAATAAAATCTAATACAAACTAGAGGAAAAGAAGAGAAACAAAGGATAAAAAGTGCAAGGAAAAAGAAAAGGAGAGAAGAAAAAAGTAAGAATAATAAAGAGAAAAGAAATATATAAAGAATTGACTTCCAACCTTCATCAAACAAGAATAAACAAATTTAGTGACTCTTCATCCTCTCTAAGGTTACAAATAATAATCTCTTCATGTTATATTCCATCCCTTATCTATAGACAAATCCATAAAGCATCATCTTTTCAGTACTGATGTCAGCAGAAAGTCCATAAAGAGTTGCCAGAAATAACAGCATATCTTGTTTTAACCTGGATCAAATAAACCAACTTCCTTTTACTTCTAACAGTCTTAATCTTTAGTTCATTCAAATATTGTCATAGGATTTGATTTCACTTCATTTCTTCTTTGTCCCATCGCACAGAGTTCTTCAAAGCTTTAACAAACCTCTTTTGTATATCCAATAGGAAAAAATTGTCCAGGTCACTCTCTTGGTTTATCG